AGGATGCTGCCTGCTTCGGCACCCATCTGGGCTTCGGCTGCGAGCCAGAAAACTTCCCGGCCCGCGGGGACTTTGCCGACGCCAAGATCCACAACCTCCCTCCTCCATTAATGCCGGAGTTCGACACCTCCTTGGCCCAGCCTGAAGTCCTGCCGGGTTTGATGAGCTCTGCCGAGCTCCTCCATCCTCACCCCTCGCCCTCTGTCCCCCCTACGGACTTTTTGGGCCACCCCACCTCTTCTTCCATCCCTTCCCTGCTGCCCACCAACCCTCCTGCCTTGGCCGAGCCCAAGAAGAAGACCCGCCGGACCAAATGTTCTTCCAAATGCTTTTGCCCGAAACCCCACGAGAAAGCTTTCGCCTGCCCGGTGGAGAACTGCATCCGGAGCTTCGCCCGCTCGGATGCACTCAACCGGCACCTCCGCATCCACACGGGCCACAAACCCTTCCAGTGCCGCATCTGCCTGAGGAACTTCAGCCGCAGCGACCACCTCACCACCCACATCCGCACCCACACCGGCGAGAAACCCTTCTCCTGCGACACCTGCGGCCGCCGCTTCGCCAGGAGCGACGAGAAGAAGCGGCACAGCAAGGTCCACCTGAAGCAGAAAGCTCGGACGGAGGAGAAGCTCAAAGGTTTGGGCTTCTTCTCGGTGGGTCTCTCCTTCGGGACACTGTGAAGCCCCAACCTAAGCACTGGGAGATGGCATTTCCCGAGGTCCCCCGAGCATCTCATGGGAGAGCCGGGGTGGGAATATCCTCCTGGGGTGGCCCCGGAGAAGATGACGGCAGATCGGGCCGTGCCGGGGAGGAGAAGGGCACGTGGGAGGCAGAGGTGATGCCGCGGCGCTGGACCGCTCGCTGCGGAGATGGTGGGATGTGGCAGCTCCGGCCGCCCGGAGCCGTCTCCGAACTGCAGGGACTGAATCATTTTTATAGCTCCTATTCCAAGGAGGGGAAAGAAAAAACCATGTACAGAAAGAAATCGCCACTGAGATGGTTTTGGGGTTTTTTTTTAAGCTACCCAAACCCACGGACATCCTGCATTTGTAGCGACCTGACTGAGATTTCCCCTGCCAGCACTTTACCCGATTATTTTTTTCAGGGTCGGGGGCTGCGGGAGAGAGATGTCACCGGGCTCCTGCAACCGATCTGTAACAGTCCCTTTGGAAAGGTGATGTCGTTGTTATTATTCTTATTTTCCTGTTTGTAAAAAGAAAAAGAATCTATCAGGAATATTAGAAAATCGTGTCTATTTTTCTAATTAAAGGTTTGAGCTAATCTAAGACCTTGCTGGGCTTGCTCTCTGCCTTTCAATCCCGTATAGCAGCCGACACCAGTGGTATTTCTGTTGGGGTTTTGACCTCTAGGCACGGGGGAAAAAGGTGCTTAAATAATTAGCAGGGAAAGGAAAAATCACTCAGTGCAGCGGGAGGTTGGCGATCCTCCTCCTGAGCATCCCCAAATCCCCGGAGTGGGAAGCTCATCCCAGGAGAAGGGTCTTGTCCCAGGACGGAGCGTGGAAGGGATCCCCACTCCCTGCTGGTGGATTCCCCCTCCGAAAAGAGGGACGTGGCTCCGGGTTTATTCCAACAGGGCCAAGCCCTGGTGGGATCTGCCCTACTTGGATGCAGAGCCACCGTGTCCATTGCAGGGACCCCAAAGCCCAGCCTAGACCCCCCCATCCTGAGGTCCTGGTCCCCTGTGGGGTGCGGATGCCCTGTGTGTCCTGGGAGGCTTCACCCACAAGAAACGGGGCAAAACACAGCCCCCATCTTCAACCTGGCCCATCCCCAGGGCTGGAGAAGATCCAGGCACCATCAGGCGGAGGCAGGCAGGATGCGGCCCCCGGCAAAGCTGGGAGGGGGCTATTTGCTCCCTCCTTTTCGATGTAGTAGACGGCTGAGAGATGCCGTTTCCCTTCTCGTGGGACCGACCAGCAGCCGGATGGCTCAGGAGGGGATGTTGCAGCCTGGAAGGTGCCACCGATAGCAGATCCTCCCTCCTCTGGCGGTTAAAAATCAGTTAAAACCGTGCAACCCCCAAAATCTCGTCCTTCTAACGGGAGATGCTCACTGGGATGGGGCACGCCGGACTTTGGCTTCAATTAAATGGGAGGAGAAGGCGCTCGTGGGAACAGAGGGAGCTGGGCAGCGGGGATGGGGGGGTGCGCCCCTGGCTTGGGGCTTGGCGATCGTCATCAGTGCTCGGGGGTTTGGGGGGATTATCGGCATTTTCTTGCAGAGGGGGAAACTGAGGCAGGGAAGGGGTGCCGAGCGTGGCTGCAGATCCGCTCTCTCTGGCAGATTTTGACCCCTCCACCAGCCCTGGAGAGGGGGGATCTGCTCCCCAACTGTGTTACGGAGGGGGGAGGCCT